TTTATTTTAGTCTTCTTTTCTTCCCATCAATAAGACTTTGGAAGTCCTTTCTCTTTCTTTTCACTTTTCAGAAACAGGAAAGTTGTGATGATGGTACTGGTAAAAGTACACTGGCACATTTATTCTTCTATCAGTAAAATGATCATTAATGTGATGTATTCTGAATCAGCAATTAGTTTTGGCAAAATTAACTGATTGGGTACATGTATCCAATATTCAGGCCTTTATTTTAAATCTATTGACCGCGTATATTGTTAAGGGTTCATTCCTGGTTAAGATTAGTTCAAGCGTCTATATTTGGAGTTCATACAGTAATCAATCTCATATACCGATAATAATTCAGTTATATGAACTTGTCACATAGGACCTAAATAATGGCTAGTTCTTAGAAAAAAGATCGCTTTATTCTGGAAAAGTAGATGATTTAACTGGTATGTAAATATGGTCAAGGTTTATATTGTTGGATGTGCGCTAAATAATCTGTGTAGTAGAGTTTGTAGCTTTTCTCTACAGTTGGCTAGGGGAGGAAACGGGTTCTTACAATATGTTTTCCTTGGGTATCACCAAGTAGTTTCTGTTATCTTTTCTGGAATCATGAACTTTTTTATTCTTTTCCTTTTTCCTTCGGATAGGAATCTTTTAGCAATCGAAGTACGTAAAATTAAAAAGAGAAAGAAAAGGGATTTACTAGACAAGTTAAAAGAGGAACAGTGAGAAATTTTCTACTTGCTGACCAGTTGTATTGCATTCTGTCATGTGGCTAAAAGCTGCTTCTTTTGACGAGAACAAGCTAGGTTCATTTGGATGACCAAATAAACTTAAAATTTTAAGTCCTGTCATTCCCCATCCTTGCTTCTCTTCCCCTGTATTCAAACAAAAGCAGAGAGCTATCTCTGATGTCTGTGCATGTGCTTTCTTAAGCATAAATGTGTTTCATGTTAGAATGCCATCTCTTTTGTCATTGCTTTCCTTGAAGGTAATCGAGATTGGTGAGCCTAGTTCTTGTTAGCTTCTTGGTTCATAACAGAGTAAGAAGCTTCACTCTTAGAAAAAAGAAAGAAAATAGAAGTGAACTTCTACTTTGAAAAAAAAAATTGACTTGCTTTTAGCTTTTTGATTCATTTGAGAGTAAGTTGCTCACCCTTGAAAGAAGAGAGACACAGAAAGAAAATAGAAGGAAGTGAAACTTTTATGCTTAAAAAAAAATGATAATTGACTTGTGTCGGTTTCCATAAGGAGATCTAGATGGAGGATGCTCATGGTGCAGCATATCCGAAATGATGATGCATATTGATGCTATCGCACCATTAACTGTATTATTAGATGTAAATTGTTATCTCTTTATTCTAGCACCAGTATGAGGGATCATGTCTTCCTTGGAACAAACCGTCTTCCCTTGTCCCATGTTGGAATACCTAAAAGAGAAAGAGAGTAAATCACCCCTAAAGAAAAGGGTGTGCTAACGATTGATAACTACATATTAAGTTCATGATGTCTGATTGCACAAAAAAGTAATTTCAAGTGAAACTTACAGTACATCGAAAACATTATACATCTTCATCTTGGACTTATGTGGCATGGTTTAAACTTACGGGTGTGTTCTTTATGAATCTTAGGGCATTGGACAGGCAAGGAACTCACCTACGTCAGAATCAGAAAGACTTGCAATCCATTCGTCCAGAGTTTCAAAATCTAATTTTCACTGCAGGTTCTTTTCTCTTGATTATTTCAAATTTCTTGAGTTCTCTGATTTTTAATTGAGTCTTTCTGAAGAAAGCAATTGCCATTCAAGTTATAATTCTGAATATAATAGAGAATGAAGGCAGTACTCGTCTTTGTGATTACTGATATTCCTCTTTGATCTCCAGTGATATCCACATTACAAGGAACATATCATGCCCTGTCTCGCCGATTGGTAGCCCTCTTTTACATCCAAGGTCACCTCAACACCTAAATGGGAGGATGTCTCCTTCACCCATATCAAGTCCTATCACCATGTCTGGCTCATCAACACCTCTCTCTGGAGGGACTGGTGCTATCCCATTTCATCACCTTAATCAGTCAGTTTACTTACAGGAGGCAGCACAACTTCCACAGAGTCCTTATATGAATGGGCCTTCGTACTGGGATCCTGATGTTTTACGAGGGACACCGTCAGGATCTCATGCTTTCCGGGAACTGGCATCCTCTCAAAATGATGCTCTTGGAAAGCAGTTCGGGAGGCCTACGACAGGAGAGCTTTTCGATGGGCAGTCGGTGCTGGCCAATCGAGTGTCTCAGCAACTCCTAAGGGATCATGTGAAACTGGTTCCTTCACTAGATCTGAACCCTTGCCCTCCTTTGGAAGGTCGCACAGGTGAAGCATGATATTATATTTGTCAGATACAACATTCGAGGTTGAAAAAAAAAGATACAACATTCACGGGAAACTTCCCAGTTTCATTGTCTACTGGGTTTTCTTGTAAATCTGTTTATCTTTGTAACTTTGAAGGAAGCTGATTTGTGCAATAAGGATCCCGTGGAAGGGTGGGGGTTGGGGACTTGGGAAATAAAATAGCTTATTGAGCAGAACTTTATCCATTGTCGATGTCGTTCAGCTGATCATATTACCTCTGCCCGGCCTCGAGTCTAGTGTTTCAAAGATGAAGCTTACTTCCCAGTGAATC